TAATTAAGCAATTATTACAGCTCTAAGCTCAGCTCAGTGGGTTTCCTATAGTGTTTTATGTAAAAAATTTTGCCCCGTTGTTGTGTAATCTTTGAAGGAGATGGAAATGACCTTCTGTTTTTGTGACAGGAGAGTTTAGGGTGACTTTCAGACCGAATCACATGCAGGAATCAAAAGTTAAATCATAACTTCCAGCTGATTGCAGTGGATTCTAAATTATGCAGAAAAGAAAAAACTATAACATTATATATAATATTATATATAATACTATACTTGCATATATTTTATTCTATTCATTTAAACGCTGATGGGTTTTTTGTTTTGTTTTTTTGTTTGTTTGTTTTTTGTTTCTCCCTGACACTGGATCACAGTGATCTGTGTGCACTGGGTTTCACTGAAAAAACCTGACTAAAATAACATGATGCATAACTGTGAATAGACTTTTATAATCTGGCTCCAGCTTCTCAACACTGTTCCTGTCCTCCTTGTAAATTGTAAAAAAGCTCCTCTTTGCTTTCGTACAAGTCTCTGGAAACGATATAAATGTATTTGCATTTAAATTGTGTCCTGTCTATTCTGTAAACCTCGAAATTTAATGCCCGTTACAGTAATCTCGACAGGTGCATCTGCAGAATCATTATGTGCATCAAAACTACTGCTGCCTCAGAAGAAAAGAAATGAAATCTGCCTTGAAGTATCTCTGGCCACACACTGCATCTCTGCAGTACAGGTGCACATTGGGAGTAGAACAACTTCTGCTGGGTTTGTTTGAGTACATGTTAGAAGTGGTCCACCTCCCTCTTTGGGATTTCCTTTAACGCTGGTGTTCCATTTCCTGTTTTTGAATCCTTTTTCCCCCCACAGCAACTCAGAGAAAGTGGAGCCTTACAGTTTCATGTCCTCCTGTCTAGTTCATGATGGTCAGATTAGTCTGACAGTATTCGTGAGTTTATTTTATCAGTAGAGCTTTGCACAATTATCATTAACTTGCAAACGTATTAGCATTGCTACACATTTTAAACTTTACTGTAATGAATGGTTTGATCAGAGCTTGAAAACCAGCAGGTCTGACTTGCATTTGCATCAGACCAAGTGCTTTTCCATAAAATATTGCAGAAATGCTTCAAATAAAAGGAATTTTAAATCTTAGCAAGGCCCTCTGCAGCTTTTAAACTGATTGAGATGAAGCCTGAACAAAAAGCTCAGTAAACTCTATTTGAAGAGCATCTAATTACTTACAAAAGCACCTGGACCTATGCCAGATCTCATAGAATGACGACAGAGCTAAGAGCACTGTTAATGGGGTCTGTTCAAGATTTAAAGCTTGGGTCTATCTACTACCTCCACGACTTCAGCTGTCCCGTTTTATGCTGTCTGTGCTTTTCTTTTTGGTTTGTTTTGGAAGTTTACTTCATTTCATTATTTTGTTGAATAGAAGAAAAAGAAGATGCGCGCACACACAGAGCACTGTAAGCTGGATTTGCTGTAATAGGTTTGGCTTTTTATGTCAAGAATAATAACAGCTCTGTAAACATAAATGACATTGTGACTGAGGTGTGATACGAATGGCACTCTACTGTATTCCTTTACGGGAATGATTCCTCATTTGAGGCTCCAACTTGGTCCCTGTGGGAGGATGCTGTGTTTGTATAATGAAGGGCAAAGCAGTGGTTGGGTAAGATGGGAAGGGTGGGGAGCCTATGTGTTGCAGAGATAGGACTCTCCACCTAAACATGAGCCAAGGCAGTCTGTTTGTAAACATTAGTTGTGCGTTGGCCGGTCTGGGCGTATGAGATAGACAGACAGTTTTTAATTTTCAAAGCCTCCTTTTAATAAAAGTGCCCATTTGACAACTTCATAGATACTTTGTGTTCTGTCACAGACTATTGAAGGTTTTCAAAAGACTCTTTTTAAAAGGTAGAAAGTGGAAATGCTTGCTACACTCCAGGAAAAAGTAGGAATCTGTCCAAGTTTGGCTTTGAAAAAGTATATAACTTACACCATTTCTGTTCACCGTTTACTTAAGTATGGAGATGCTCAATTTATAGAAAAGACGCGCTATTAAAAATGATTGGTAAATAATGTAAGGTGTCAGCGGGGAGATGCATTTCTAAAAGTCTGCATCCTCATTGCGTGCATAGTTTATGGACACGCCTGGGCCACTAATCTCTGCTGTCAGTTCCTTGTGACTAGAACTAAAGTACTCCTCTCTAATACATTAATTAGTGGAAAATTATGTCTTTGTTCAGTTTGATGGACATTTCCAAGAACTGTGTGTGACATTAAGATGACTGACTGCACAAATTAGCTGGAAATAACTGGTGTCACTGAGATGCCTGAAGCTGAAAGGAGCAGGAACTGTAACGACTGCAGGGAAGCTATTCTGCATGTTTGCTGGAAGTCGAGTGTGTATGACTTGGCAGTCATCTATTATGACTAACATAGGAAAGATTAACTCTGTTTTAAGCAACCTTAACAGGTAATGGGACAAGTACTGATTTCTAAACAGCAGTGGCAGCTGTTTGTATCAAAAATAGTGTTTTCTTTTAGTCATGCAAAGATGAAAAAGACCCTAAAAGGATCAGTGATTTTATATTGGTTTTATTGTATAGAGTGTGATAAAGGTGGCATGCCTTCTCTGGCATGCCAGATATTGTTTTTGCATGGTTTTGTGTATGTGAATAGCTTTCAAGGGCACCAAAGGCATACAGTTGAACTATGACTTGCATTAATTGATGAGATTAGATCTAGTAGTATACACTCCACACACACCATGTTTATAGTGAAAATCCTCTGTTGCAAATTTTAGAATTTCCTGTGTTGCATCAGACTTTGCAAACATTTTCTGTCTTCCAAGAATCTTGATCTGTTTGAACAGAATCATTGTGGAAATGTTGCACAACAACCACCGACCCTGCGTAGGTGTGAAACCAAGATTAAGGTGTGATGAAAACATTGCAGAAAACGAAGAAGGGAAAGTCACATAGAACCACGTGGTGACGCAGGAGAAAATGTCATACTTTTTTCTTTTTATGACTGAAAATTACAAATTGGTCACGGCGTACAACTGACTGTAGACATCATCTTTGTCAGTTGTGCCCTTTTCCTTAGGAAGCCAATATTAGAGTGACTGAAAGACATTGCATATCATCAGCTCGCTTTATTTCTCTAAACTGTACTGTTACCTGCCCTTTTCAGAGTAATTAGGGTACTTGTTAAATCTCCTGCCTAGAGATTAGCAGTTTATTTGCTTCAAGACATCTTTTTTTTAAGGCTTCAAACCAACCCAACACTAGACTAACACAAAAAGCAAAAGCAAGACAGTTCTCTAACCTAAGGTCAAAAGCAGTATAAAACCAAATATCTACTAACTGCTACTAAGTAAAATTACAAGCATTAGCCAATAGCTCATATCAATAGGCAACTTCTAGTACTACTTCTCTCTCAGGGCAAAACCAAATGTTGTCTCTTTGTTGTGCCCTGAGAGAGAAGAGATGGTTGTCAGGTGGACTTTACAAAGCTGCTAACTCTACATAGCTTGGATTGAGGAGAGATCAGCATCAAGTGTTAGCAAATAGCACACATGATACAGGCAGGGATGGCTCCTGAATTTTTACATAGGGGTGACCAAATGGGGGCCACTAAAAAGTACAGTTTGTTTGGGTTTTTTTTTTTTTTTTTTTTTTTTGTATGTCTAAGTTCTTTGGATGCATCTGGGCAACTCAAGGTTCAGTATCTTGCCTGAAGATACTTTAACATTCAGAACTACCAACCCTCCAGTTTGCAGACAATCCCCTCGACCCCCTGAGCCACAGCTGCCCCTGGACATAACATGCTGTGTGACTTGCAAAATGAATGGCTCGTTTGATTGCCTTCTTTTTTTTAGATTTGATAGAATTTGATTCAGTGCTGAGAAGCAATATTTAATATACTTTATTATTATGTTGTCTCTGTGTACAACATGACATTTGCTGTTAAGATATAAATAACAGTCTTGGAGAGAGAGAATCATAGTAACCTTTTAGTCTGAGATGTTGCACCACCTTGATCTCACTTCAAGAGAATTGAAAATGGAAAGGAAGTAAGCGTAGACATTTATTTTTCTGTGTATGGTAACATTTTTTTTTTTTTTTTTTAAATATGCGTGCTTGTCTGTATTTGTGGTTTGCTCTGTTATGGCCCTTATTTTCAGTCTGGTATAAACTGCCACAGTAACACCTCACCCCCGTTGACCCCGGATGAATCTGGATGTTAACATTTCCGCTTGGATAGATTGACCTCACGTACATATCTTAAGTGAAATACCTCCCTTTTGTCACTTTTTGAACTGGCATTGCTTCAGTGTAGCTGTCGAAATGACCTTCATTTACTTCTTGCTTCTCTCAGCCTTGTGTCTCTAGTGATCTGTAGAGGCGGGGAGAGGGGTGTGCTGCGATTTAGTCGTCCTTCAAATCAGGTGCTCGTCCTTGCAGCAGGCACTTCTCTGTCTTCCTCCTCTGACACATTTTTTTCCCCTCTCCTGTTCCCGTGTAACCAGCCGTTTTGCAGTACAGCAAGAACAATTCTGCAGAGGGTGTAAAAAGGCGGTCTTATATTCACTGTATTCTGCTTCTGTCAACAATTCCTGATAGAGCTCCCATGTTTTGAAAACCCAGTGCAGACTTGGTTACTGTTCTGTTTGGCGTTGGCTCAAAATCTGCCTCCGTTTGTCTGTTGTTGGTTTGCATACTTGTCTAGGTGCACCCACAAGCAAAGTGAGACAGAAATTTTTAATTAGTCCTGAGCTGCTCTGGAATTCAGTGAGTCTCATTAGTGAGGAGTCCATAGTGTTCCCGTGCCTCTAATCTCACCATTTCTGCTGTTGTCCTGCTGAGGACTCTCTATTAATTTATGTGACATGGTGACACTCGTGGCCAGTTCATTTTAATTTCTTGTACTATTTTCTGAGTGTGGTTAAAAGGTTTTTTTATTTTATTTTATTTTATTTTTTAAGACTCACCATTGTTAAACTCCTAATGTGTCCTTTCTCTGTTTAGGTGACCTGGGCAGAGCAACAGGTGGTAAAACAGAGGAAAAAGAGGGATGTTTTTGAAGAGCCTTTAGATCCCAAGTTCAGAGACCAGTGGTACCTGGTAAGTATAAACAAGAGGCCATGGGTTTTTTCTTTTTCTTTTTCTGTTCGTCTTTGAAAAATAATTCTGTGCTGCAGCCTAGTAGAGCTTTTTATCTGTCTAAAGTCAATATAGGTAATTACATTTAGAGCTGTGATATTTCCTCAGGGTCTGAAAATAAACCTGTATGAATCCAATATACTTTTTGTGTGTGTTTTTGGGGAGGGTGCTGTTTGTCTGGCTTGTTTGTAGAACAAGACACTCTAGTGTGACTTTACCTAAAGGATTCAGCTTTAACAATAGCATACTTTCGTACACCGAGCTCCCCTCAGCTCTGAATGGCATGTTTCTTGAAATTGATGGTTTACTTTGGTCCATAAACGGCACAGCAACAAAGAGCAAAAAGCGGAGTGAGAGAGGGGTGATTCATCTCGAAGTGCGCTTGTTTTCAGTCGATTGATTTTCACATTCGACTTGAAGAATGCCACTGATACACTGGCCTGTTAAAAGCAGCAGTAACAACTCTGGAGATTTTCTGTTCAGCCTCACTCTTCCTGCAATTACTGTGAGGTTGCTTGAGGCAGAAGATTATTCATGGTGATGCAAAGCACACTTGTTTCACCACTTGTTCAAAATGTCTTCGCTTTAACGCACTCTGTTCTCCACTGTGCTTGAACAGTTAGTGGCACTTTGATAAGTAAATGTGCCAAGTTCACAGCATTTAAGAGTTGAACTGTTTAATAAAAACCTGTCTGTGATACATGTAGATATGTTTTATGTGAAAGTTGGGGGAGTGCTTTTAGTGTCTTTCGAGGGCTGCAGCTAATGATTCTTATCATTCCTTCTGTCCAGCTAATCCACTGGAGAGCACAGAAGAGGATTATACTTCTGTCTGTTTCAGCCTTGCAGAAATAAAATAAAGAAAATAAGTAAATGGTTGTCATTATGCAAAATGCATTGGGTGGGTTTGAATAATATTGGTGATACTCAATTGTCCAAAGAGGTCGTGAGCATCAGTAATGTGCTGCTCTTCTCTCAATGCACTAAATAAGTCTGATTCTCATTAAAACTGAACCAGCCTGACCACACGAGGGTGTGGGTGGGTCTGTTGGCAGGGTTTCCAGCATCTGCTGTTACAATGAATATTTAATAATGCTTATATTTATCAAGGAGGGAAAAAAGTCTGATTAGACTCATTCGTGTACAATTGATAAATCATGGGCAGATCTCATGCTCAGCTCTATATTTGCTCGAAATATGAGTGCGCCCAAGGAAATGCTAAAATTAAGAGAGATGGGAAAGATTTGATGAACAATATCCAAAGTGAAACCTTGGACATGCCTCTCAGATTTATTATTCAGCAAGTGTGTAAGCCACAAAAGACCTTTTCAGTCTGAATCAGCATTGCAGATCGCAGCGTTTACGTTTTAATTTATTTTCCTGTCGATGGTTTAAAAGTGTCAATGGCAGTACAAGCTTGAGAAATAAAAATAATTCTGTCTGGTAAACTGCACTCACAAGGGCTGGAAATTTAAGAGGAAAATACAGTAAACGCTACACTAGACACATTATATTTTAATGATGCACTTTGAAAATAAAAAGGGCTTTGAAGTAGTTGAAAGCAAGACGTGGCTTTTGACCAAAGGTCAAGCTGAATGTCGAAAGCCCATCAAAAAGCATACTGAATGATCATTGCTATTTTCCACGTCACTATATCTCTGGCTTACCAGGTATTAATAAAACATGGTTTAAAAAAAAAAAAAAACAACTATGCAAAAAGCTCAGCCTTCACCTAAACATGTTAAATTGCTCTTATTTTATTAATTTGTTTTTATTAAAGGTGTCCTTTTCACATTTGGTTAAAACTGATTGTCATCCCACAGATATTTTTCTCATAGCTAAATTCTGTGTATTTCATTGCTCTCTGCCCCTCAGTACAACAGCAACCACCATGACTTGAATGCTAAAGCTGCATGGCAGTTGGGCTACACAGGTAAAGGTGTGGTGGTGTCAATCTTGGATGATGGAATCGAGAAGAACCATCCTGACCTGATGCAGAACTATGTGAGTAGCACTTCCTGAGTAGCACCTGCTAAGGTTTTTTTTTTCTTTCATTGTACTTGTACAATTACAATAGAGGGCTATTCTAAGGATTTTCTAATTAATTCTGCAGTGTTACCCTGCTTTTATTTTTCTGTAGTAATGTTTCTAACATTTACATGCTTTTTAAGTTCATAAAAATGTCAGTAAACCATCTGTCCTTTCTAAGGACCCGGATGCCAGCTACGATGTGAACGATGGTGATCCAGATCCCCAGCCTCGATACACACAGCTTAATGACAACAGGTAAAACTCTACTCAGATAAAAACTTAATTTACTCTTGGCCTTCCCTGAAAACACCCTCTTGTTCTTCTTTGTCAAGATAAAACTTGTTTATTAATTTGTCCACCTCCCTGTGTAATAGCTCACAACTGAAATCTAGATAAGTCTGCGGCTGTTTCCCATCCTCTGTTTAGCCTGGAGGCATAAATTCTGAGGGCAGATACAATTAAATGTAAAAGGCTGTAGGTTTTGTTTTATTAAACAGCTTCTTTTTTTCTATTTATTCTATTTGATATTTCCGAAAATGTGCCGCTGTTTTCTAAAGTAAACCTTACTCCTGTCATATCCACAACATAAGTCTCTGATTTGATTTGGCCTTTAAAAATCGAGCGTTTCTTTAGCCCAGATAAATCTGCAGAAGGATTAAGGTAGTGTGCGAAGAAAACTACTTTCTTGCAGTGGCATCTGCAGATGGCATTAGGACTTGTTTACCATCACAGTGACGTCTTGCAGAGAATTGATTGAATTAAGTTCATCAGCATTAATGAAACAGCAAAGCTCTTGGCTCTGGAGGGTCTCTGTTTGCTTCTCTTCATTCTCAGTGCCTGCCTTCTTTCTGGGTTTAATTTCTGATTTGCTGTAATCTGCTGCTTGTGGGCCACTGGCCTGGGAGGCTTTTTTAACTTGAGGCTCACCATGATTACTGGTGAGAAGATTATACTTGGGCATGGATGAAAATGCAACAGGGCCCTGGAGCAGGCACCATCAGTATGGAGGCCAGAGGGATACAATCAGAGTGGCAGCATGGCCCAAACATATTGAAACTATGCTAATGCTGAATCAGCACCTTAAAGGCTTTGTCGAACATACAGGGGTTTGGGGCTGATTGTAGTAGCTAATTGCTTTCAAATTAAACATAGTTCACCGTAATTTAAAGCAGAAGCACAAACAGTTATCAGCAAACGCTTGGAACGGTGAGACAACGCAAACAGTATGTGCCATGCTTTCTGATTTAGCTCAGTTAAGTGTTTTTAACAGCGACATCAAGATTTTCTTGTGAAAGAATGTGGAAGAACATCCCTCTGGTGCGGCTCCATATATCCAAAATCTATGCCAAGGCACGCTTAAGCTCTTCTAGCTGCTCGTAGTGGCCCGGAGCCCAGCTAAGACACTTACTATTGATGTTTCCTTCATTTTTGGTTGCACCTCTTTCCAACCCTCGCTCACCTCGGCCCTTATCTCCTGCCACCCAGCTCCCTGTGTCTGTCTTATTGCTGGAAC